GCCCTGCTGTGATCTTTGAAAACATTCGTTGGGAAATAGTGCCCTCTTGTGGTCTAACTGGAAATTGCCACTCTTCCCCAGAAAGTTTTCATTAATAAAACGAGGTTAATAAAACTTTTTGTGCCGTGAACCACATTGGCGGTCAGGTAGAGCCTGTGTAATTTACGGAGAGCCAATTCTATTCGTGTTTAAGCACCTAGAGGGGCCAGTCCTTCAGGCATTGCCCCACCCTGAGGACGGACTGTTACCTGTTTCACCGACGAGGATATGGAGGTGGACAGCGGGCATGTCTTGCTCAGAATCACATAGCTGCTGGGGGCGAGGCCAGAACTGGGGCCCAGGTCAGGCTGCCTCTAACAACCCCCTAAAGATGAGGAGGTCTCAGCACCGTCTGCCAGAATCTGAAAAGTTTATACCGAGGCCTTAACGTGGTTCTGTCACGTATCCGGTCCAGAGAGTCTCAACACCTGCTTTTCAAGGTTCCGACCTTGAAACTGGTTCCTAGTGAGAATGGTGGGCCGCGAGACATTCCAAGGACAGGGGAGTGGAAATGGGAGTGGGTATGGGGGTGGGGGGGGGCTCCAATTCCCTGGATGGAGTCCCTGGTAAGTGGTCAGGTCCTCTCACTGCCCTACTCCAGCAGGCCATCCCTTGTGAGTGGCTCTTATAATCTCAGCCCCCTCTTCCACAACACGCACTAAAGCATTAATCAGTGAGAGGTTTCATTTGCAGGAAGGCAGATACCACAGAACTACAGGCACAGATTAAGGAACATGAATGCAGCGCTGCCATCAGACCACGCGTGCAGATGTGCACAGCATGAACATTCTGTGCAGCAGGTGGCTGCGAGTGGAAGCTTACCAACCCACGCACACAAGCAATATCCATTTCTTTACTTATTGAGGTCATTTGTTTCTGACGCTAAAGCCCATCCCACGCAGGGTGATTAAAAAAACTCAGACTCGCCTGGCCGGAGTGGTTGATTCCCAGGAGGTCACGGTTCATTTCCAGGTCAGAGCACATGCTCAGGCTGCAGGCTCGATTCCCAGTGGGGGCACGCAGGAGGCAGCCAACCAATGGTTCTCCTTCATCATTGATGTTTCTCTCACTCTCCCTCTCTCAAATCAATAGATTAAAAAAAACAAACTCAGATTCACACATTGCTGGCTCCCCAAGCCAGGTCCTGAGTCAGTTTCATGCTGCCCACCTAATGGTCCCTTCAGCTATGGAAGCCCCGCCTTGCTGGGAGCGTGCCACCATCCCTCTATACCGAAAAGCTACCCCCTCCGAGATTTTGTCACTTCCTTCAAACCCTGGCCCCAGACTCCAGCTTCTGCTCCCTGACCTAGCACCACCACCTGGGGCAGGAACATGCAAAAGGTCTTGAGCCGGAGCTGAAAAGGGGAGAAAAGCATGGAGAACTCCCTGCCACAAATCCACATCTTAATATACTATCACCTTCAAACCAACTGTCAGTTCAATTGTTTTCTTTCCTGGAATATGAATCCTTGAGAGTGCATGTGGGGGCAGGTTGGGGGGGGGGGATGTTGGCTGGGAGCAACTAATCAATGTTGCTCTCTCACACCAATGTCTCTCTTCTCTCTCTCTCTCTCTCTCTCTCTCTCTCTCTCTCTCTCAAATCAGTATAAACATATTCTTGGGTGAGGATTTCTTTTTTAATGATTTAACTATGCCCAACTTTTCTATATTTAAAATATACATAATAAGAATTCGGACTTCATTCTTGGAGTTAGCTTATTCACCCTGAACTGTTGAAAGGGATACAAAATCAACAATTTAGGACAAATTGTGTATTCTGAGCTACATAATAAAACAGTTGCAGCTGACCTTAGCACATGGGAGAACGAGGAAGAAAATATGTTTTAAAAGATAAACGCGTTTCACCACCCCCTCCAGTGCTCAATTAACATAAACTTGTCAAACATTTTCAAAAAAACAACCCAAAAAATGACACTTGAAATTAGTCATCTGAAAAAACTGAGGGAAAATCATAACGAAAAACATGGTCCATCCATGATAAATCATAGGGTGGGCAGCTATTAGGAAAACATTTAAACATTGTCTTCATTTTATAGTCTCACGCATTTAGTTGCTATTATTTTTTTATTCCCAACCCACCATTTGTTAAAGAAATTACAGAAACTATAGAGCTGAATAAGGACTTTAAATAAGAATTCATACTCCAAAGAAATAAGAATCTTTCAACTTTTATTTCCAGGATACATTCATCTGGAACCTCTTTGTTTCTTTACAATTTTCCCCCTAAGAGAAATGAATACAATAAAAATATAATCCAACTACCAGCAATGTTTGTAACCAGAAAAGAATCTAAAATCTCTGGTGTGATAATATAGGATTTTTTAAAAATATAAACTTCATACCAGAAATAAAGCCTGAATATTCTCTTTTTCTTTAAAAATAGAATTTTTCCTTCTTTGCTCTTCCATGTAAATCTTATAATCACCATTTAGTTTTAAAGTCTACATTTAAACTAGTAATAACAATTTTATAGCAGTTTTTTCCTACTTTGTATCCTGTTCCGTAAGTCAACTAAGAATTGCAGTTGTTTAAAAAAAAAAAAATGCCACTAGGTTCATAGCAAGATTCTTCAAGATATACTGATAAAAAAAAAAATCCCACTAGCAAACTAAAACCTACTTAACAAGTTGCATTGTACAAAGCACTTTTGCAAACTGTAAAGCTCTCATGGAAAACTTTTTACAAAATGTGTTGGACTAGGAAGGCTAGTTCAATACTGGGATAGAAGGTCAGGGACAGAAGGCTGTGAAATCTTGGTCTTTGTTCTGTAACATTTAGATTTGGGGAGGGGAGATTAAACATTGCAAAGCTGGGGGTGGGGGTACATGGTTATATCACAAGGACTGAATGGTCTGCAGTGATGTATGAGTATTTTTCTTAACTGAGAATAGAGAGCAAGGGGCAGAGGAACAGCCCGGTATTTACCCGAGACTGAGAGATCAGATCACCCCTCTGCAACTAAGAAAAAGAAATGTTAGTGTTTAGTGGCTCTCTATCCAGAGCTCCATCACTGGAAGTATAATCCATTCTGAAACAGTGTTCCAAAGTCGAACCTAAATGGACTGGGAATCGTTTCCCAAAAGATCATCAAAAAGTCTAATTATAAGCACAGGTATTAACACACCTGAACTAGAGAGACACTCCCCTATCGCCAAAACAGCATTCTCCAGGACACCTTTTTCAGGGTATTTTGTAGGATACTGGACACTAAGCAAAGGATAAAAAAAGTTTGAGAAAAATGAGCCCAGTGAAGGCTTCATTCTTGTTTGCTGGAATGCAAAATGGACTTCAGGGAAACGTCTCTCCAGGAGCCATCGGGATGACAGGAGACAGGCCTATACACAGACCTGCCGAGCCTCGGTCATCGGCACCTAGACACAGGTGGCCAAAAGCAGCATCCTCCATTACCTACGGGGTGAGCGAGCGCACAGGAGGAATGGTGCTAGGCTGCTGAGCGGCTCGGGCATGCTGGAAGAGGCTGGTACCAGGACTGAGCCCCCTCTCCTAGAATGTTTTAACCATCTTCCCGTGGCGCTCTGGGAGCAGGCCTAGCTTAGCACGGGAAATGGGCTAAAGGCCTGATAACTTCTCTTTTCGCCTTTGGATGCACTTACTCTTTCTTCAGCACCAACTTTCCCCAAGAGAATATTCAGGCCAACTTTGTCTTTGTTTTTTTCTGCATTAGTAAGAGTTATAAACTAGCAATTTGGAATACCCGTCTCACGGAGTATCTTATGTTAGTATATGACACCTTGAGTAATAAGAATGTATAACTTAAATGTCATTTACACAAGAGTCAAACAAGCCATGTCACACTTGATGATTCCACATTAATAAAACTTAGCTTTGATATGTAAAAACCTATCTTTTGCCAAGGTTTTAACTACTGGACTTTAAACCAACTGTAATATTCCATGTAAAAGTAATTTATATTGCAGTAACATGCCTTCATGTTTTCTACATACAACAAAGTAAGATTTTGAAATATACATATATTTTAAAACCAATTCACTCTCTTTTACAATGACACCTTCAGTCCAACATTTAAAATATAAACCCAAACTGCCAATGAAAACCAGTGTACCAAGTGACAGTACCATTTAAATGAAACAATAAGGCAAGAAAATGTAGGCATTAAAACTTAAAGAATAAGCATAAACTAATTCATTGGAAAACTGCTCATATGCCTGATGTGTTCAGAAATGAATATAACGCAGAACAGATCCCACTGTGATATCAAACAACTCATTCCTTTCTCATTTTCTCATTCCATGAAGCATGGCTCACTACTTTTACTGAGGTTTATACAGTGATTAGTTATCTTTAACAGCAGAGATTAATATTAAATACACAGCCTATTCCAGAATTGGCATATGCTCCCAACAACTGTTTTGTGTGCTCCCTGAATTATAAAATAGTCCAATCTTTAGGAGCATAAAAATGAAAGGGCTTAAATCTACTCACATACATTGTGCACTAAATGTTACCAAGTTAAGACAGTAAGGTGGAAAAAAGAAGGGTACAGTAAATTTTCTTTAAACAATCCCATTTATATTAGACAGTATTGTAAATAATGTATTTTAACCAGGTTATAAAAAAAATAATTACCAGAATTTGTACCAATTTCTTGGAGAAATTAATAAAACATTAAATATACATATTTATTTGTATATTTATTTGAAGAATCTTTGGTACCAATTGTGTTCCTTCCACATTATAGGACTTTTCAAAATAAATTTCAAAATTAATATATTAATCAGCACATGAAAGATAAACTATGATACTTTTCATTTTCCCATAAAATGTACTTGAACCTATTAACCTGCACTAATCATGCACTTAAACACAGTATCTGTTTAACTCATGTACATATAAAATGAGACTAATACTACAAAGAAATTAGACAGTAATGAGAATCAATGACAAAACATAACAATAAAAACTGTTCTTAAGTAATTTATTTTTAAATTATAAGATTACAATGCTTTGATTATGCAAAATAGCATAATGGAAATTAAACCAAATCAATAAACCAAAAGAGAAAGAAAACTTGGTTTTCTTGAATATCAGTATTTAAACCATCACTGTAAGTAACTGGTAACCCAATCACAGCTTCTGTAGACATAAGTATATTTATTTCAAAGGTTTCTCTTGTGGGTTTAATTTCTTATTTTCAACTTTTATGAACTGTAATATAATTTATTTCAAATCCTAGTATACCTAGTGTTTATACTGCAACAGCAGCAAATCTCACATGTGCAATCAAATGTGGAACTGGGGCACAGCTTTCAGTTTGTAGCTGCAGACAAAAATTATACACTGCATTCAGAGCAGAGTGCATTATATTAACCAGAGCATGGAGTTTAGTACACTTATTGCAGATTAGTATTCTTTCTCTTTGAACTGAACCAGCTGAGCTTCTGAGCAGTCATATTACTGCTGTGGATAGTAAGGCTGCTGTGGGGGCTGAGGGAAGGGGTATGAAGGCTGCTGGGGTCCTGGGAACGGAGCCTGTCCAGGGTTCTGATGATACACTGGCGGATATGGCATATTGTACTGGCCGTACGCATAAGGGTTATAGCCCATGGGCATGGGCATTTGGCAATACCTGATGGGAAGAAGAAAAGAATTGGATTGGTAAATCAAATACGAAAAAAAAGAAACATACTATAATTATTCTAATACCAGTTTTTCCCAAAAAGCCATTTGTCTCTATTTCTCAGTCTATTAGAGAACACTGGAGAGAAGAAAACAGCTGTTTCAAGGTACCTGTTAGAGAAAAGTGTTCCTAATCCTGTTATTAATTGAAATGAAAGAATATCAAGTTCACTGTAATGCATATAAATTTACTATTTGTAAAAATTCTTAATAGTGGAAAGACAGAATGGACTTAAAGTTTGAAGCACACTTAAAAAATAGTCAAATGTCTTGATTTTTAACTAATCACAAAGAAAGCAGATCTTTAAGAAAATACATTCCATAATTACATAAATTTCTGCTCAACAGTTTATCAATATGCAAACATTTCAAAGTACAGGAATATAAATAATGCCGTATCAGTCTGGCTCACGCTAAGCTCAGAAAAGGCACTTGTGTATCACCTAAATAAATAAGATCAAGGAAACACATTCTGAATTCCATACAGAAGAGATCTGATAGAAACCCAGTATGTAAAAACTAAAAACATAAATATGCTTGGAAATGGCTATCCCAACTACTCAAACAAGTGACTATAACATTATTTTTACTTCTGCATGAGCTGACAATGTAGATTATTCATTTATGACACATCCATTCAGAGACGCGACAACCCTGTTTTTAACAGGTTAACCAGAGCAGATTGGCTGATTCACTGGGATAAACAGTTTCCGCCTTACCCGGGATATCCTGGATACGTGGGGTAGGGGGGCCCCTGGGCCTGTGGAAGGGGAGCTGAGCCAGGAGTCTGGGATGCAGCAGGTGCAGGAGTCCCAGTCACTGCAGGAGCTGAGGCAGCAGCAGCAGGTGCTCGATTTGCTGGAAACGTAGGAGGTGGAGGCCGGGCTGGGGGCTGAGGCTTACTAGGCTATAAGGAGAAGTCAGCATTAACTACAAAATGTTTCATGTTTCTTTCAAATTGCTATCAATTAAAATAAATGAGGGGGCATGAGAGAAACGCTACAGATTCCAACTAGATATACTTCTAATTCCCATTCTTAAATGTTGGCTTATTACTCTAGAAATGTATCATAGTTGAGGAATAATTCTCCAATTTGTTGTTTGTTTGTTTAATCCTCACCTGAGGATATTTTTCCATTGTTTTTGTGTTTTTTTAGAGAGAGGGAAAGACAGATATATTGATGTGAGAGAAACACACCGACTGATTGCCTCCTGCACAAGCCCCAACCAGGGCCCGGGCCGGGGAGGAGCCTGCAACCCAGGTACGTGCCCTTGACCAGAATCAAACCTGGGACCCTTCTGTCTGCAGGCTGATGCTCTATCCACTGAGCTAAACAGGCTAGGGCTAATTCTCCAATCTGTGGATCCTCGGTAGCCACTGCTCTTTTCCTGATGCCCAATAATCATTTACTGCTCACTGCTTCTCCCAATGATTAGACAACTGAGGTGGGAGGAAGGAGCAGGTTAGGTACAGTTTATTTTTGTAATCTCATCCTGATCTCAACATATTATGAAATTTTTTAAAGACCAGAACACTTAAAAGAATAGTATAATACACATGTAAGTTCTAATATTCTCCTATATAATCACAGGACCACTTCACCCTAAGAAAATTAACTCTTACTCCCTAATATCATCAAGTATCCACTCCACATTTAAGTTTCCCTACGTATCACCAAAAGAAGCTCTTACATGTATTTTTATGGACCCAATCAAGATTCACGTATTGCACTTGGTTATTATGAATCTTTCCACTCTTTCAACCTAGAACAAGCCCTCTGCCTATTTTTTTCTATGACATCCCCTTTTAGAAAATATCAAGCCAGGTATCTCACAAAATGTCCCAGTTCTATTTGTCCAATTGTTTTCTACGGGCACAATTGAACTTCTTGTTTCATCGCCCCATTTGCTATAAACTGAAAGTTGGTTCTAAAGACTTGATTAGATTCAAGTTAAAGATTTTTTGGCAAGAATTCTTCACACTGCAAAACATCACATTGGTCACCTGATCCAAATGGTGACCACAGATTTATCCAACATGAAGTCTGTTCCATCCTTTACAGCAAGCAAGCTGTCACTAATGTAAACTAAACGTCCATGTACAAATGTTGGCTTACTGACCGTAATGGTTCTTGGCGCTGGAGTTGGAGGAGTGGGGGCAGATCCTCCAGCTGGAGAGGACTGATAGGCAGGTGTAGGAATTGAAGGAGCACTAGGTTCTCTGGCAATGCTTTGCTGCAAGTCCCTTATTAAAGACAAGTGTTAGAATTAACACAATAAAAGAACACCCAACACACATAAAATATCAGGTGCTTTTCTTTTCTTCATACATGAAACACAGAAAATAGATTCAAAACAATGATGCTATTTTAAAACATGCTACGTTTATGTTCTTGACTGGAACTACCTTAAATCTTCTTTCTCCCTCCTATTTAATAAATTAGTTCTTACGCTACTTCTGAAGCCTAGGAAAAAAGGAAAACTTTCAGAGATCATAGTTACAGCTAGAGTAAGGAAGATGTCAAACTGGGCAAGTGGTCCTAAACGACTGCCCTCTCTTTTCTTTTAATATATTTTTATTAATATCAGAGAGGAAGGGAGAGGGAGAGATAGAAACAATAATGAGAGAGAATCATTGATCGGCTGCCTCCTGCACACCGCCAACTGGGGATCAAGCCTGAGACTCGGTCATGTGTCCTTGATCAGAATCGAACCCAGGACCCTTCCGTCCGCAGGCTGATGCTCTATCCACTGAGCTAAACCAGCTAGAGCTTCTGCCCAGTCTTAATAAGAGGTCATTCTCTAGATGAGAAACTCCTAACAGAACAACCAGAAAATTACAGCAGCTCATAGTCACCTCATAGTCATCTCGCTAATATTTTAATCACTATTTACAGAAACCATAACAACAGGTGAGAAAGCTAATCTATTCAAACCATTTTATAAATTTCTTATAAATACTTTCTAAAGATATTCAAAAAAGCATGGCACTGAGCTATTTCATGTTAAAGGAGACCTCAAAATATATTACTAAGGTAAATTCATAAAAGAGATAGTTGAAAAGACCATTAAAATACAGTATTAAAAAACAGAAAAACATTTTTAAATCCCCTCTACCAAGATAAATTGAAATCCATCCCAAAATCTCACTTAAATAAAACAGATGTGCTATAAGTGTAAATTACATGCCAGATTTCTAAGATTTAGTGTGGGGGAGAGAGGAATAAACTATCTCCTTCATAATTTTTGCATTGATTATATTTTGAAATGATGCTACTTTGGACATACTGGGTTAAACAAAATGTATTACTGAATTTTATTTTGCCTTTTTCTTTTAGCTTTTTTAATGTGGCTACTAGGGGTTTTAAATTTTAAGTTGTACATGTGACTGCATAGTATCAACATACAGATGTACCTTTATTTAATTTACCAGCTCTAGACATCTGATTTGTTTCTATTCCTTTACTGCTAACAGTAATATTGGACAGTGTGTTTTAGAACCTTCATGCCCACACTATTTACAATAGCCCAAAGCTAAAAACTACTCAAATACTCAAAAATAGTATTGAAAAATAAGACTAGTATATTCATACAATGAAATACATACAGGAACATCATACAGATGAATCTCATTAATAAAATGTTGAGTGAAAGCCAGTCACAAAAGAGTACATATGATTCCATTTATATACAGTGCAAACCCAGGAGAAACTAGTCTACTCTCTCAGTCAAGGCAGTGATTGCTACGGAGAGGGGATAATGACGAGGTGGATGCATTAGCTATGCTTCTGGGATGCTTAAAAGTGCTCAGGACAGGGGTGTGCTCAGTTTATGAAAATTCAACAAGATATACATCTATATATACTTTTGTTTTTATTTGACATTCAATAAGAATGTTTAAAGAATTTAGCCCCTGAGCATAACAGTGATTTTAACAAAGGTCCCGCTTTAAGCCCTGCACCCTGCTTGGATCTGAACAAGATCCATTTTTATCTATTTTACAAACTTAGATTCTCTGTAAGACGGAGTTTGAGCAAAAGGTTCTAAAGCTCAAAAACTAAAAAGTGGAGGGGGTGGATGAACACAATCCAAAAAGTTAAAATCAGAATACTTGGTTTTGACTATAAAAACATGAAATCCCATTATTTAGATTAATGTAATTATTTGAAAAAATTATGTATTCTTTCACATGACTCAAAACTTTAAAAAGTGAAAGACCCCTGCCTGCCAGTTCCCACTCCACCATTCACTCCCCGACAGACACCCACTATTCTTTCTTAGGGGCCCATCCTGAGTTTCCTTATGCATAAATAAAACAATTCAAATGCACATGTCCTCTCCCTTTTCACACACAAAAAAACATACTTTACAAACTGTTCTGTGCCTAACCTTTTCTGTACATTAACTATCTTAGCAAACCTTCCATCTCAGCAAACAGAAAACACTCTCTTTTTGTAAATAGCTGCCTTGTATTTCAGTGTACAGCTGTAGCTTCATTCATTTCACCAGACCTGGATGTTTGATTTGTTTCTATTCTTTTACCGCTACAAGCAATCCAGAAACGAATTAGCTCACAAATATGTCATTTCTAGCATATGCTAATGTATCCTCAGAATAAATTCTCAAAACAGAATAAAGGATCTACGGATTTGTAATCCTGACCTTGGTGGCTAAAGTGCTCCACACAAGGACTGCACCAATGTGCACTCTCACAGCAACGCACATGTGCTAATATAGCATGTTAAACAACTTCCAGATTTTTGCCAATCTGAAAAGTGTTATTTCTGAGTAATTTCAATGTGTGCATTTTCTTTTGAACATGGTTCTTATGCTTAAGAACCACTTATATTTGTTTGCATCCTTTGCTCACTTTTCCATTGGGTTTTTCCTCCTGACTATAGGAGTTCTTTATAAATTAGGTAATAAGCCTTTTGATATAATAATTCAATCTTGGTTTTTCTTTGCCCATCTCTAATTCTATCTTTACTTTGGTTTCATTTTCTTTTGACTTCCTCATTTCTACTCTGTGTTCCTGTGTTTTCTTCACTGTCTATATTCTCCTTTTGTGCTCCTTCCCATTTCATCTTAGATCTGTGATGGTTTGTTTTTCTCTTCTCTCTCATGAATTCTGACACGTTTTATCACCTGTTTACTCACCATCTCGAGTTCTGGCATTTGTTTTCGATGTGTCTTAGAAAGATTGCTTTCTAACCCTTTTTTTCCCATTGTAAAATGTCAGCTCAGAATTTTCACCTGTCCTGTGACAATATTATTTTGGTGAATATTCTTCATCTATAGCAGTGGTTCTCAACCTTCCTAATGCCGCGACCCTTTAATACAGTTCCTCATGTTGTGGTGACCCCCAACCATAAAATTATTTTTGTTGCTACTTCATAACTGTAATTTTGCTACTGTTATGAATCGTAATGTAAATATCTGATATGCAGGATGTATTTTCATTGTCACAGATTGGACATAATTAAAGCATAGTGATTAATCACAAAAACAATATGTAGTTATATATGTGTTTTCTGGTGGTCTTAGGCGACCCCTGTAAAAGGGTCGTTGGACCCCAAAGGGGTGGCGACCCACAGGTTGCGAACCACTGATCTATAGGTTTTGTTACATTTTGTCCACTTTTTCACCTTGATAAATATAGTCTCTTCATATCAATGCTGTCAACTCTCTACTGACTACTAAGCATGGACTGAGTCCTGTTACTGGCCCCGCTTTCTCAGTAGTCTCCTTCAGAAAGGGACTCGCCATCTTCCCCAGGTTCTGTACCTCTAGTTTATGTAAGGAACCTATCTGCCACCACAAAGTAAACTACTTACGTTTATCAGCATTTCCTGAGATCTGCCACCCTGAGCTGCTTTATTATCATTTCAGTGACATCACTGTACTTCCTACATCTAGAGTTTCTACTCTTTTCTATATTTTTGTTTCCGGACCATGCAGATTTTTGCTTATTTGTTTTATAAAATACCCAGGAGCAAAGGAAAGAAATTGTTATCTCATACTGTCAAGTTTACCCCAAAAGTCTCCACAAGGTTGGTTTTTTAAACAAAAATATTTTAAGTACAATTTAATACAGAAAACAAACTTACTTTAAGAGTTCATCTCTTTCTGTTTTCCGTGCAAACACGATATCACTGCACTTGTTCTGGAACCGGACTAGGATTTCGGTCAGCTCGTTGTAAAACTATAAGCAAAGAACAAATACAATTAAAAAACCAGAACAATTTTTAATCTGAGGAACACAACCTAAAGCTCAACTGTCAATCACAGTTAAAAGTGAAAAACTAAAATTTTCTACATTAGACACAGTCATACTACTTAAGTCTAACTTAATATTAAATATGAGCTAAGACTCCTAAAGAAAATAAAAATAAAATCGCTTTTAGAGAACAATGTCACTAAAAATTAAATGGTAACAAAAGTTTCAGACCATGTTTTGTACATTTTCCCAATTCCTCACACACTAGCGCTATTTCATTGGAAGGATCAGATCTGCACATTCACTTCAAAAATGCAGCATCATTTCAGAAGCCCTTAGAAGAATTTCCACTTGTCTATTTCAACAAAGCATTTTATTAAACGAAATTAAAATATTTTACTATCCTCTCTATTTTGAAAGGCTCTGCAGTATTTCTACCCACTCTTTAGAGGGTTTTACATGATTATCTACTGTATTTACATCGAGATAACTTTATCCAATGATCATAATGGAATTAAAGTACCAAAGGAGTGATGTGCCAGAAAACTTAAAATCACTTGTTCCCTCATAAGGAAAGTAATTGTTAAAAATACAAGCATTTCCTTCAACTCTTTAAAGAATAGGCAATAAAATACTTAAAACATATTTAGTAAGCACGCAGAGACTCAGACAGATCACAAGTCTATCATCATCCAACATAAAGCACAGAATATAAAAGCCACACCCACCACCCACCTTCCCCACCACAGAACAGCTGTTTCCTCATAAGTCATTCAAACTGGTCAACTTTCCACCCCCACATCCCTCTCCTAAAAAGATGTCATTGGCTTTTGATATCTCTGGGCTAATTCCTGTTACATCAAATCTTAAAACCATGTTCTGCCTTGTGAAATACACAATTCATCAAAGTTCCCATGAAACGGTGCCACCTTCGTTAAGATCTTATAACAAACTTCTCAGAGGCAAAGTCATTAAAGCTAACAAATTCAAGGCAAAAAAAAAATTTTTTTTTGATCCAACTGGAAAAAAAAACAATTAACTTCCCAAATTACATATTCACATCTACACTGGATAGCTACTGTTTCTTTAGTATACCATACCTTTGTGCCTTCTTTCAAATTAGCTACAAGTTCAACAAAGTTGTCATATGCAGCAGCTAAATTCTTCAAAACTTCTTCTCTTAAGTTGGCTTCATTGTTAGATTGTTTCATTTTTGAAAATTCCTGGTGTGAAACCTTGTTAATAGAAAAATTTATGTTTTTACATTTATTTATCAAACGCAGCTCCTAACATTTTTATTGATACTTTTCCAACTATGAAAATCATATATTACATGCAGGAATTACTAGAAATTTAACAAATATTTATTTTGGAGTAGCACTGTGCTTTAAATCTTTCCTTATGTAAAAACATCACAAATTCAGTGTGTGATAAAACAATCAATGATTACAGATTTCTATTAATATGTACACCTGCAAAAAAAAAAGATAATCCTAAATGGACATAGATTTAGAACAGGCTTATCCTTTAATTTTTTTAAAACATAAATTTTATTAACGTATATGAAGTACACCTGAATATTCTTAAGAAGTCCTTCCTGTTTCTTTAGAGATTCTTGGACTTTAGTCGTAAGACCTCCATAGATTCGATCCAGCTCAGTAACAGAAAGAGCTTCTTCATTTATCACACCATCTTGAGCCAAAGCAGTCAAAAATCTGCTTGTCATGTCAAAATTCATTGATTTCAGGTCATTCTCTAGACCCTCTCTTTCCTTCTTTACTTCATCAAGATTTGTCAATAAGGATTTTAATACATTTACAACCTTAAAAGAAAAAAAAGAAAGAAACCTTAGTTTAATTGCAAAAGAAACCAGAAGCCTGGGTTATGGGCTCAATCCACCAGTGTGGGCGTGCAGGAGGTAGCCGAACAATGAGTCTCTCTTGTCATTAACATTTCTCTCTCTTTCACTTTCCTTTCCTCTCCAAAATCAATAAAAATATATGAGAAAAAAAAAGAAAGAAAATGAGGGTGTAGACCAGTGATGGCGAACCTATGACACGTGTGTCAGAGGTGACACGCGAACTCATTTTTTTGGTTGATTTTTCTTTGTTAAATGGCATTTAAATATATAAAATAAATATCAAAAATATAAGCCTTTGTTTTACTATGGTTGCAAATATCAAAAAATTTCTATATGACACGGCACCAGAGTTAAGTTAGGGTTTTTCAAAATGCTGACACGCCGAGCTCAAAAGGTTCACCATCACTGGTGTAGGCAGTAGAAAGAAATATGACTCCTGAGGTCCAAGAAGCATCAAATCATAGACACACTAAAGGAAGAAGAGAATGTGTCATACCTGGACACATTCTGTCAACTCTGTTTAAGGGATCTAGTGGAATCAGATGTTAGACCAGCCGTGGGCAAACTACGGCCCGTGGGCCGGATCTAGCCCGTTTGAATGAATAAAACTAAAAAAAAAATAGACCATACCCTTTTATGTAATGATGTTTACTTTGAATTTATATTAGTTCACACAAACACTCCATCCATGCTTTTGTTCCGGCCCTCCAGTCCAGTTTAAGAACCCATTGTGGCCCTCGAGTCAAAAAGTTTGCCCACCCCTGTGTTAGACAATGTGGATAAAAATCTTACTTCCAAATGACTCCCATGACATATTGTTAAATGGAGAAAAAAGGTGCAGAAGTATGTGTGTGTGTGTGTGTGTGTGTATGATGCTGCATTCTGAGAAAGAGAGGAGAAATCTGAATATAAAGATACACATACACATAATATATTATGTACATATGTATGCATATATATTTTCTGCAAAAAGAAAAGCACTAAGGACAAACCAGAAACTAGTGAATATGATAACTTATAGGAAGTGGATGGGAACAAGGTAGAAAAAAAGGAACGAGATTTCTCTTTTGAATGATAAACACTTTTTCACATTCAAAATTAAAATTAAATCAAAATTTGAATACAGAAACAAATGAATGAACTGTCCATCTAAGTAAAAAATTAATTCCATAGAAAAATATTTCAACTCTTACTCCTTAGTGGATATAATCAACTTAATTACTGTGTAAGGTCAGTTTACTGCCTGGAAAACTCAATTTTCTTACCTGCAAAACGAGAATAATAATAGTACCTATCTCAGGACTGTTGTGAAGACTGAACTAATCTACATAAAGTGCACAAGATAATTCCTAACAAAGGGTAAGTGTTCAATCGTGTAAGAAATTACTATTAACTGGTAGTTAGGTTTTATGGTTTAACTCTATACTTTGGGCACATTATTGACTAAAGAAGCTTAGGCATGCACATTCAGACAGGGATAGAGGAAAAGATTAAGAATTAAAGCATCCTTTATTTTGTTGAAATATAACTATTTATGTAATTATGTGAGTTTGTTTTGGGAGGATGTAATAGAATACACATTTTAAAGGTTGTAACTATTATCTGTTGGTGCGTTTAAACCGATAATGGAACCTGAACCATGACTCTGAAGCGTTTACCCTATAAAGTCTGTTTAATAGAAAAATAAGAGATGTCATTTTACTCTCTCTGTAAGTTATGTCCAACAAAAACTAGAAAAAGGAATATGCAGAACTGACTTTAAAAATAGCCTCAGGGTGAGAGTCAGGAACACTCTAATAGTATTATTTTGAAACAGACTCCATGTCCTTATATAGTATAGAAACTAAAGTCTCTCATCAAATAGTGGACCAAAACTGTGGCGAAAATACCCCCAAGTTAGCTAGAAGTATTGTGAGAGGACAGGCATGATTCACATGGATACAACTTCCTCTTCAGAGGGCAATCATCCCTTTGTCCAGCGTATCCACATTGTATATGCTACCTGCCTGCTGTCATTGAGTAGCAGGCTGCTGTGGTATTAGTGCCTTTGTTCAAATAGCTTATTTTACTTAATAGTGACCTCAAAGCCAAGAGGCATGATGCTGGCAATTTGGATATACCGAAAGAAGCCAAAAAGTGCTCCTTTTAAGTGAAAAGTACATTAAGATATTTTAAGAGAGATCACATTCACATAACTTTTATTACAATATATTATTATAATTGTTTTCCTTTATTATTGTTGTTAATGTATTACTGTACCTAATTTATAAACTTTATCACTGGTACAGATGTAGAGGGGAAAACATAGCATATGTACTTTCAGGCCTCATTATCCCCCTTGGATAAGGACCATTGTAATTCGTATTCTTTGTCCCATTAGGTCCCCTGAACCCCTTTGGAGATCCAGGTTCTGTACACATTCAACTATGCAGTCTTCTCCTTACTTTGGGGGCTGGTTTCCACTGAACCTCTAGTAGCTCCTCTGACCACAACTACTCACTCAATCCTTGGATCCAGTGTGGGTTCACTTCTTCTGCCTTTTTACTCTGTTCTCATAATGTGCCAACTTCTTAGGAAGTCCCTAAAGAGAGGAGTTCGAGCCCTAGCCAGTTTTCCTGAGCGGTTAGAGCGTTGGCCTGTGGATTGAAGGGTCGCAGGTTCAATTCTGGTCAAGGGCACGTACCTCAGTGGCAGGCTGGATCCCCAGCCCCAGCTGGGATGTGTGCAGGAGGCAACCAATCAATGTGTCTCTCTCACATCACTTTTTCTTTCTCCCTGTCTCTCCCCCTTCCTTCCACTCTCTCTCAAAATCAATGGGGGGAAATCCTCAGATGAGGATTAACAACAACAAAGAGAGAGAGAAACTCCAAAATGCTGGAATTTAAGTACTGTGTCATCTAAATCCCCACAGCATATTTCTGTGACTACGACACTTAAGTTTTTACCCCGGATTGCATCCCGTATTATTGCATCCTTGTGTATGTCTAATCTTTGACTGTAAATGGAGGGTAAAGGCTTTGTTTGATTCATTTGTTAATTTTTCAAAGCACCTAGCACAGTGCCTTACATAGATTAGATATCTAATAAGTCTTGGTTGAGTAAAAACATGAAATGCTTCTGTGGAAAGACAAATAAGGAACAACACTGATAACTTTTAAGATCTATGGTCTCAGAAATTCATCTTTTTCAAGTTTTCAGCAGTATTTGTTGCACTTTGGCTTATTTTCCTGTGTATTTCAGGGCCTCTATCTTATCCTACATTACCTCATAAGACATTATACTTGCACTTTCTCCTCTTTGGGACTTTCTGAGTCCAATGCCCCATTATTAATTTTCTCCTTCCTGTCACCAATAGAAAGGCCATAATGATGTTACCCATTTATTAACATGTCAGTTTTCCTTTCAGGGGTAGGCCCAGCGGAATATGGTGGAAGGGTGGAAGGCAGTACAGAATAATGTATGCATCAAGGAATCTGTGGTCAGAGAGTATCTAGCCAAACCCAGTCCTTCCACTTCGGGAAATATTCTCCCTTTTATAAAACCTTAATTAAATACGAACATATGGAGTATCTAGAATAGAGTAGCCAGCTCACAGGAAGCATCAATAAATGAAAATTATTATTACAGGATTGTAATGTTATTACTATAATTACCTATTACTCAGTGTACATATCATGCTACTTTAAATGTAACAGCCACAATTAACATCTGCATTTTTAGAAAGATGCCAATAAGAAAGAAATCAGCAACTTGTTATTTATAATAGCTTGAACATCGTTTTCATAAACAGATGACCAGCTACACCAAAATGCTTCTTCTTGCCCTAACTAGTTTGGCTCAGGGATAGAGCATTGGCCTGAGGACTGAAGGGTCCCAGGTTCGATTCTAGTCAAAGGCATGTACCTTGGTGATGGGCACATCCCCAGTGGCGGTTGTGCAGGAGGCAGCTAATCAATGTTTCTCTCATAGGTGTTTCTAACTCTCTATCCCTCTCCCTTCCTCTCTGTAAAAAATCAATAAAAATATACTTTTTTAAAAAAATGCTTCTTCTTACCTCACTGCCCTGCATGGTCTTTGCTGGGTTAGCAGAAGGGATGGCAGCATTCAGCTCAGGCTCTGGCTTACACAAAAGTGCAATGGAGTCACGGTGTGACAGATACCGTTCTTTCACTTTCCCATCCGCTTGCAAGGCTTTATCCAAAACTGCTCTGAAGTTGGCCCCCTCTGTGGGAAAAAGAATGTTATCATAATGATTTCAATTGTAATGTTTATGGGTTGGTTGTACTTATAGTTCTGTTCTCCTTCTACAGGCCCCAATTCTTTGTACTTAAATGTCAGCATTTTGGAGCTTCTCTCTTAGGATTATTCCTTTTTCGCCCTTTTACAGGGGCCGATTCACTCAGTAATAAAAACTCAGTTCCTGTCGAGTGTTAGCATTTTTGTTTTTGAAAAAATAACTATAAAGCAAAAACACAGTTATACCTTAAAACACATTTGTGATCACTGTCCATCAAAAAAAAGCTATTTGACTAATCTTTTCCCACAGCTCATGAATATAGGAAGAAATCATTCATCCCAAAAATTGTTACAACTTATTTAAAAAATATTCTCTTTCAAAGGATCACTGCTTCAACTTGACTTACATAATAGCAGATATATTTTTAGAGAAATCTCAATAGCAGTAATTCATTTTATAGAGATAAATAAAACAATTCCCTAGCTACCATGAAGACATCCTTTATCTTAACAAAAAGTTTTCAAAATAACTAAAGTTTTCAAAATAATAACTTGGCTTCAAATTAACTGTTAAAAATCACCTTTTACCATCCAGGATTCAAGAAAAGTGAAATTATAAAATAACACATATAATATGACCTCATTTATGTTAATAAAATATGCAGATGGCTGGAATAGAAAATGTTATAGGAACATTTTAATTTTCATTTTATACCCTTATCAAGAATCTGAACTTCTTGCCGAACCGGTTTGGCTCAGTGGATAGAGCGTCGGCCTGCGGACTCAAGGGTCCCGGGTTCGATTCCGGTCAAGGGCATGTACCCTGGTTGCGGGCACATCCCCAGTGGGGGGCGTGCAGGAGGCAGCTGATCGATCTCTCTCATCGATGTTTCTAACTCTCTGTCCTTCTCCCTTCTTCTCTGTAAAAAGTCAATAAAATATATATTAAAAAAAAAAAAAGAATCTGAACTTCTTATAATGAATATGAATTATCTTTGTTATATTTTTTATCACTGAACTGAAGAAAAACACCTGGGCTATGATAGCAACAGTTGCAGTAAAAACAGGCTTACAATTGAACCTAATTTAATCAAGCAAAAATGTGGATCCAAATAGAGACTTTATTAATTTGAAGGTCATTTATGCACATTTTTACCTGCTCTTAAAGGCTTATAGAGTTCGTTGGATGCTGTCCTTTGCCAGCGTTCCTTGAATTTTGCTCTTAAATCATTGTCAGTTGCTTCTTCTTCATCCAACAATCTTAATGACTTATTAAAAAAAAGCAAAGCAACAATGGATGTCATTTCTGGTGTAAAAAGTTAAATATTTTTAAATGATCACACTCCAAGTACATGAAAATTAGTGAAATGGGACTACTCTTACATTACTGGTTAGAATATAAATTGGCACAACAATCTTTGTTGCGGAAATTCATGTTACAATGTATTTAATTAAAAAATCTTGTAAAAGGCCTAGGTGAGCCATTACTTTACTCAGTAAAATTAAAAAGGAAGAATAAGTAAGAGTTTATGTACATCCATATACCAAGACTACTTTAAACAAAGACTGTTTTTAAGATAAAAATAAATAGAAAGTTTTTGAACCTTAGAAGCCATAAAGTTAACAGTTAAACCATAACTGTTGTTATGGCATAAACAAAACAAAGAGAAAATTGATTACCAATAGGAAATAAGATTTAGACTTCTATGCCAATACCACACACTGAATAATAACATGTAAAAATGCCTTTTTAATGCATAACTGAGAAGACAAGATAGAAACACAAGAAAATACTAATTTATCAGTGGAAACAAGTGTTAGAGCCAATGGTATCTGCTAATCCCTGACAGCTTAGAGCAGAGGTCTGCAAACTCTTCTGTCAAACACTACAGTATTTTAGGCTTTGGGGGGCCACAGTCTCTGTCCCATATTCTTCTTTTTCTTTTTTTTTTTTTGCAATCTTCTTAAAATGGTAAAAATCATCCCTCATCAGTGAACCATACAAAACATACCACAAGCCAGAATTAGCCACTATCCTTAGTTTGCCAATTACGTAGTTGACTACTGGCTTAGAGTGTGAATTTAACAGAACACGAGTAGACACAAGAAACATCAGTGAAGACCGGGCATGGCTCAGTGGTTGAGCATCAACTTATGAACCAGGAGGTCAGGGTCCAATTCCCAGTCAGAGCATATGCCCAAGATGTGAACTTGATCCCCAGTCTGGGGCATGCAGGAGGCAGCTGGTCAATCTCTCTCATCAGTGATACTTCTCTCTCTCTCCCTCTTCCTTTCCTTGTTCAATATCAGTTATATCATATCACTTATATTATCATCACCATAGTAATATAATAGTAATAGTAGAAATAGCTATAATTTATTAAGCACATATATGCTGTGTGTCCCATAGGCTAGGCATCCCACTGTTTTAGTTTAGTTCATCTTTTAAATAAGCTTAGGAAGTCAATATCCTCATCCCCAAGGTTCACACCATCATAAGTACTTAAGTACTTTGGCCCTGCCCCAAAGAACTTAGAAATGATGAAAATACAATATCCCCTGAAAGTTAACTGAAAAATCAGAACATCAGGGATGAAAGCATTGATAACAAAAGTCATGTAAGAGAGATGTGACTCCTAAACTAGCAAAAAACAATATAACCAGCTTGAATATAATTATAGCTGAAGAAAGAAATTTATCAATTAGAGTAAAGAGTTAAAGGCACAATAAAGGGAGAATAACATTAGCAAACTGTTGTCTTTAGCCAAAAAACTTTGTGTTCCATTCCTATCAATAAAAGCCTTCTCTACTGGAAAATGGATACAGTGGACTTATAAAACATTTGATGGCCTAACTTCCTTTGTTTGACTCCATGTTCACTAAGAAACCCAATCTATATATATAAAAGGCTAATATGCAAAGTGTCCCTGCGGGAGTTCAACTGGGAGACCAGTTCTATTGCTCGCTATGATGTGCGCTGACCACCAGGGGATGGCACAGAATGGAGGGAGGCCCTAACTGGCAGCCAGAAGGCCCCGATCAGCCCTGATCACTAGGAACCCTACCCATGCATGAATTTCGTGCACTGGGCCTCTAGTCTTTAATATTAAAAAATCATTAATTATGAAGACTTTGAACAATTTGTGTGACAGTAATTTCTCATAGTATACTAATATTACACAATGGTCATATGTTTCATTAATGTCCATTTACATACCCTTACAGACATAAATCAACCTATTCTCACTCAATTGAAATTCTTTTTGAGGCTGAAGGTCAAGCTCTGGCCCACCCACATTAAGTTCACCATGATGATGAGCACCTCCCTGTGAAACCAAACAGGAGAAAGCCTCCAGTACTAATCCTTGCTGGACACCAAGGAATCAAACTATTTTATTTGAAAGGCAAATCTCAAAACATACCTCATCTAGAATTTCTCTATTTCTTTGTAGTAGTTCAGGTAGCTCTTTGATCAACTGATCTACAGTCTGGATGCCTCCCTGTTCAATTACAGATGTGGACTTTGTCAATATAGACTGAGGTACAGTATCTCCAGATACATCTTCAATTGCTGCTGGAAGATTAAGAGATGCTAACACCCTGAAAAAATGAAATACTATGTTACATAAAGGTCTAAACCACCTTAAAACATTAATTTCCTATATCCAAGTCAACAGCAATTCAGTTACCATACCAAAAGTAGGTAAGTCTTATCAACAGAAAAATAAAGGAAAAGAAAAAAAATAGGCGATTGATAAAATTAAAACAAAATCATTAAAGAATTAAATTATTTAAATTCACAGAAATTAAAAGCCAAAAAGAAAGAAATATACATTAAAATATACTAAATACCTTTGGCTGACAGTTCTAACTTAGCTTCTTTCAGTCTAAGTAATTATAAGTCAAAAAGTCTATCTTAAAAACTGTAATCTTTTTATTATACTCCTGATTGTTATACTGTCACTGACAAATCAGAATACATAAGTTATAATTTCATATCACCTATGTAAAGAGAACATAGTTGATCTAAGTATTAATTATAGAATCTTCATCTGTTCTGTTTGTAGCACAATAACAATTACTCTGTTATTTCATTTATATAATAAAGGGAATGTTAAACTTATGTTTAAAAGAAAAATGAGGTCAAAATCTATACATTCATCAAAATTAAAAACATAAAAAAGCAAACCAAACTAGGAGAAAATATTCTCAATTACATACATCTGACAAAGGACTTGTCTCTAAAATATGTAGAGTTCATCAAAGATTAGTAAGAAGAAAAACTCAGTCTTAAAAATTAGCAAAAGATGTCAACGGACACTTCACAAAAGATATGAATGGCTAATAAACACATAAAAAGTTACTCAACATCTTTATTAATCAGGAGAATGCAAATTAAATCACAAGATACTGGTACACAAACTAACATTAGAAATATTCTATTAAAAAAAAAAAAAAAAAGACTGACAATACCAAGTGCTGATGAGGATACAGAGCAACTACATTTCTCAAACAGTGCAGGTGGGAATATAAACTGAAACAACCACTTTGGAAAACAATCGACCCATTTCATATGAAGTTAAACATACACTAACCATACAACTAATCTATTGTAATCCTAGTTATTTACCCAAGAGAAATAAAAGATGTCAATACAAAGATCTGTACATGAATGTTCACCGCATCAACAATCTGAAATGTCCATCAACAGGTGAAAGAATATAGACTGACATTTGACCATAAAATGAAATACTGTTCAGAAATAAAAAGGATCAAAGTGATACCCCAACATATATGAATCTCAAAAACATTATGCTAAGTGCAAGACACCCAACACACATTTTGAGTATATACTATAGGTCAATGATGGCGAACCTTTTGAGCTCAGTGTGTCAGCATTTTGAAAAATCCTAACTTAACTCTGGTGCCGTGTCACATATAGAAATTTTTTGATATTTGCAACCATAGTAAAACAAAGATTTATATTTGCTATTTATTTTATATATTTAAATGCCATTTAACAAAGAAAAATCAACCAAAAAAATGAGTTCGCGTGTCATAGGTTTGCCATCACTGCTATAGGTGCTTATCTATACCGTAGGTATTACATATGTAACAATATTGTACTATAGTATGTACTATAATATACATACTCCACATGTTATAATAATTACATTTACATCAAATTGTATAAAAAGAAAAATTATAGTAACAGGAAGCACCATAGAGACTGGGGGTCAGGGGAAGAGAAACTGAAGGGAAAGAAAGAGGCATGAGGGTGCATTTTAGGGTGACGGAAATGTTCTCTGTCATGATCATGGTGGTTACAAGAGTACAGTAGGGCCTTGACTTAACGAGTGTCCCGACTAACGAGTTTCTTGAGATACCAGCTGTCTCTCCGAGGATTTTTTGCATTGAGTTCATAGAGTAATTTGAGTTAACAAGCTCCTTAACGAGCTCGGTCTCAGAATGAATTAAACTCATAAGTCAAGGCCCCACTGTATTCACATTTATCCATAGAAATGACCTGTACATTTAAAATGGATGTACTTTACTGAAGGAAAATTATACTTAAGATTTTTCTAAAACCAATGAATCTACCAGAAACAAAATAGATTCAGAAAACTGAATATAACATGTATCTTAACTTAAAAAGTTCATTTCTACTTCTCATTTCCCTCAAATAAATACAAATTAGCAGTCAAACATTTTCACTTTGTTTCAGTAATTAAATTTCTTCCAACTGTATTTGGTAGGGCTTAATAAATATAGTGTCCCCAAGAAATGTGTGTTTATGTGTGTTATGTGCTTATTTGCTATTTTCACTTATCTTTGACATTCAGTTCCACGGTCAGAAGGTAAAATGTTCATAAATATTTAGTTAAAGAATAATCAAACAGAAAACATTAGAACTTTAGATATAAATTTATGAAAGATAAGCTCTACCTACCCATTTGCCAAATTGGTGGCTTCTCTCATTTGAGCAATTGATCTGTTAACTAAGTCAGCTTTCCTCTGGTTATAGGCAGCCAAAGCCTGCTGCACTGACACAGGAACCATTTTCTCAAACAGATCTACAATTAAAAATGGAAATGTCAACAAAATTTTGAGACAAAACTCAAATTATATAGTGACTGCTCGTATTTCCTTTCCAATATTGATATAAAAAGTCTACAAATACTTAAAAACTAAATCGCTACTGAAAGTACGATGGACAATGACAATGAAAGCTTTTTTTCTGAACTTAAATCTCCTGCCTTTTAGATGTGTCTGTCATTGAATTTAAGAAATCTTTGGTGAAGAAGAGCTAATCATAGAAAACACTTCACTTGTTTTGGGCTACTGTGCAATCGTTCAATTTTCACTCTACCACTTTCTAACTATGCAACATTGGACAAGTAAATTACTTAATCAGTTTCCTCATCAGTCATGTGGGGATAATAATAGTAACTAGCTCACGGGGTTGTTGTGAAAAATAAATGAGCTAATATTTGTAAAGTGCTTAAAAGAGTCCCTTGGCACATGGTAAACAGTTTGTGTTTGTTAAATAAAAATAAGTAAAATAATCACCCTTTCCCAATAACTTAGAATATTAATTATCCTTAGGATCTCAGCTACAGACTACCAAACACTGCATATACCTACAATACCCACCATATTGTAACGTATTTATCTGATACAATCATGACTCCAGAATTTGATAGGTTTTAAGTTATATTTATGAATATTTTTAATGGCAGAATCTTCAATAATATAACAAATGTTAACAAAATGACAACTGCTTATTTAAAGTTTTTTATCATTACTCAAATGCAGTTTCAAGTTTTCTGACTCTGTTGTATACTTTACATATCCTTTATTGACATCTTTTCCATTTAAAAATTTCACTGTAGATATAATAATTTTTATTCTCATATTCATTTTGAACAATATGAATGCAAAGTATATTCAGAGCATACAATTGCAACTTTGTGATTTTGGGCTACTAAAAAAAATAGATTAAACTAGAGAAAAGATGAGTAAGATTAAACTACAACTGAATACTTGACATACCAGTGAATTTCTGGCTAATGGGTACATTGACTGGGGTAGATTTCACAAGTGTGGCTTTGCCAATAGGGTCTAGATCTTTGAGGTCTGGAACTCGATCGTGATATATGAAGTCATTATCCTTCTTTGCTGCAGTAAGGGCACGGTTGATTTTGTCTGAGAAATCCTTCACGTTGACATATTCATCATAGCGAGATGCCACTGTTTTAATCAATTCTGCTGCATGCTAAAAAGAAAATGTTAAAAAATAATGTTTCTTTTTCTCAACAAAGCATTGGTTTCTTTTTTAAATAAAATTTAAAAAACCTAATTTGAGATTTTGCATTTTCAGCAATGTGGTCAACAGATTAACCTAGAAGTTCTCTCATCACAAATTACTCCAAAATTTAAGAATACATAGCAGACACCCCTTTAAACACGTGTGAATTACCAAGAAAATAAAGGAAACCCATGGGGCAATAAGCATAAACAGGCACTGAGGAAGACTGGATGTCCAGTGTTTCAATAACCCAAAGGACTATCAATTAAAATGCTTTAAAAACCCTCATGGAAACCTGAGACAGGATCTTGAAACTACAAAAAGACAGAGAACTGAGCAACATCACTTTCACTACCTCACATGAAGGCAGGAACTTCAAAGGACTACACCCACAATGAAAGAGTGAATCAGAAAAATATTATCCAGCAGCACATTAGATCAACAAAGAAACAAGATGTCTCAGCATCAATATAAAATTTGCTTTAAAAGAAGGTTTGCTCCCTGGCCAGTGTGACTCGGTTGGGTGTCGTCCAATGCACCGAGATTGCTGGTTCGATTCCTGGTCAGGGCACATGCCCGGGTTTCGCGCTCCATCCCCTATAGGGGGTGTGCAGGAGGCAGCCTATCTATGTTGTGCTCTCACATCAATGTTTCTCTTTCTCTCTCTGTCTCTCTCTCTCTCTCTCTCTCCCCTTTCCTCTCCCTTCCTCTCTCTCTCCAAAATCAATAAAAATATTTTTTAAAAAACGGTTTGCCATTAGAATTCATAAGATGAGCATATGCCTCATATAAACCAAGGGTCCACATTTTCTTACTTAGATGGTATTAGAAATAGTAACATCAGATAAAATAGGCAATAAAGTCAAAAGTATTATTCAGTAATTCAATACATAATGTTTATTTAACATTCACCAATTTGCCAGAAAGATATAAAACTTCTTAAATTTTGCATTTAATAGTTGCTACCTATATAAATTGAGAAGTTGATACATCTACCAATAATCAGAATGGAAGATTTTAACACCTCTGTCTCTGTGATGAATGGACCAAGTAAATACAATTTTTAAGATTAGAATTTTATTCACTAAACATGGAAAACCCTGAACTCCACTATTAAAGAATACATAATATTCTCAGGCATTTAGAGAATATCTATATGAAGTGAACACATCAGGAGACAAAGCAAATCTAAAACACCAAAATTACAGAACTATAAAAATGGTTTTAATATTAGAAAATCTACTTATCTAATTCTTCAACCTTAATAGATTTGTTTTTAAAAAATCAAATTATCTCCAGATATTAAAAAGCATTTGATAAAATTCAATATTCATTCTTGATTTTTTAAAATTTTTACTCGTAAATCAGAAATACCCAGTTCCTTTACTTTTAAAGATTTTTTTTATTTACCTTAGAGAGAGAAAAATAGAAACATCAATTGGCTACCTCCTGCACTGGGGATCCAAGCCAAAACCCAGTCATGTGCCTTGACGGGAATCAAGCAGGCAATCTCTGGGTGTTGATGTTCTATGCTAACTTTTGACCTATGAATAATAAAGCTATAAAACCAAAGCTACAAACCCTTATGTGCCCATAATTGAAAAAAGTTCTCACTTTTCACTGTGAGTCTAAAGTAGTCTCCTTTCTCCAAAGTAGATTTTTAAAACTGCATTAAAATTTCAAAAGGAGCTTTTCTCTGACTGGTTTACAGAGACTAAATAATAGCCTGCTTGAATCTAATAGTCCCAGAAAATAAACTAAACTTCTAATACTTTAAGTATGCTAGCCTAAAAAAAAATCTCTCCCACAGAAACCCCTTTCATATAAGAATCTAAGTTATTATGATCAAAGTGAATTCCTAGACAAATGAGATATGTTAATCTGGGTTTTGTAAAAGAGTATGCTTTTGTCTGTTTATGTCACTGTGGGGTATAATACCAGCATACATTTTATTTTTTATAAGTCTGGGTTTCTTTTTTTCAGGAAAAGACTAATTTGTGTGAACTTCCTAAATGATACTTGCATAGTACCTTCTAATATCCAGGCCATATTAAAATTTCCTTAACAGTTATCTTCCTACCCTCTGCTTACCAATACTCAAAAATACAAACAACTAATAACAGCACTTATTCCTGCTGAAAAGTTGCCCCAGATGCCACAGCACGTTTCTGACAACCCCAATGCCTACCATATAGATACAACTGCATAGAAAGTACTCTGCTGTTTACAGATGTACTTATATTACCACTGTCCTTCTCTAGCTAAACTTATATGCTCCAATTTAGACCAAGGCTAGGCACTCTGCAATCCTTTCTAGAGTCTGGTAATTAATTTAGAATATTTTATATTAAGATAAATATGGGTAAATAAAAAAGAACAACTTCAATTTTGCATGAAATTTTTGGGGGGTTATTTGTTGTTGTTGTTGTTTTTGCGTGAATTTAAATAAAACATGAGATTTCAAAAAGCATGGAGCAGGTAAAGCCTATTAAAAGCACTTGTCCCCATTGATGGGGCAATGGGCAGGAATGGTTTTCATGGCAAACTTGGGAATCTCATTAAGAAAGAAAAATGGAGATCCAAGTTATTTAATATTTATTTCTAAGAGACTCACCTGTAACCTTGCAATCTCTTCCCCAAATCTCTTTTGCTGTTTTGCCAGGATAGACTGATGGTACTCAGCATTGGCCTGCATGATACAGTGCTTGGCAGCCAAGACAGGGAACACCTCCTGGAAATAAAAATACTGACCAGGGAAGAGTCCAACCACACAAACCACCACAGACAACATGGGATGCAGGAAGAAAAAGGAAAAGGAGACAGAAATTAGAATTACCCCATTAATCGTTAGAGAAAGGTTAGTCACTAGGTGTAAACAGAGAAGACCACATGATTTTGCATGGGTTGAATTCAATCATTTCAATTTTTTTCTTCCAATTAGAATGAAGGGGTGTTGTTGTTGTTTTCTTTTAAGTGAAGCCAATTAAAATTTTTACAATTCTCTTTAATGGAGCCATGAAGTCAACATTTTGTTTACAAAGAAGAAAGGAAAGCATGCATTAGAAAGAGAAGTAGAATGGACAGCCAGAGGAATAGCAAGCACAAGGCTTTAGAAGCTTTCTTATGAGCCCTTTTCCAGCCCTTAGAGTCAACTAAAACCATTACTCACATACACTAAAATTGCTCTATAGCTGACTGTTTCATCATGTTTAAGAGACAAAAGACAGTACAAGTAAGTTCCCACTTATACTCATATCCTAAGACTTTTTAATAAAGATGATTTTTAGCCACATAAAAATTTAGTATGGTATAACAACTAACATTTCAGTATCATATACTCAAAAACACATAGCCAACAGACAAATGAACTAAGTTAATAACTAATATGATTTAGTGTTATTCTGCCGTAATCTGTCTTAAAAAAACTGCATTCAAAATTAATTGTAAAAGATCCAAAAACATGAACCAGGGAAGCTGTTGTATGGGTACCAGCTCTTCTAAAATGTCAAATCCTAGCCTGCAACCTTACTGCTTTTAGGCAGTACATGTCATATAAGACCCAATAAATATACTAGACAATCACTGTGCAGACAATCAATCAATCAATCAATCAATCGATAAATAAGACATTCAAAAACTGAATTACTACCTATGTCCTTTCCTGTCTCCCAATGAATAATATCCTAGCTTCCTGGATCATTATTTGTAGAAATTTCAGTTTTACAATTAAAATATGAAATATCTTAGGAGCTTTATTAGTAAAAAAGGCAAAAATAAAGGACACCTAAATCTCAAACTGCACTCATGCCAGTTCTCAAGGTAAGGCTGGAGCAACTTGGTACTTAAACAGGAGAGTTTCAAGGAATACCAGGAATGCTGCAAAGTCGTTCCCAAGTCTTTGTAGGTGACATTCTTCTCTCCATGACAAGACTGCACTAATGGCCCAACAGGATATAACGGTACACTGAGCAGCTGAACATTAGGGCTTTCCAATGAAAAAGAGGTGAGAGGGGATCCCAAGTCTTTTTTTCAGAGTAATATTATTAATACCCAAGAGTCCTGGGCAACTTTCAACTGGTATCTTGATGTATTTTAAATTTCCAGGAATCTTCACATTGTACATTTTCTGACTAAACTAACATGTTCTATTGATGAAACTTACATGCTTTTTTTTTACTCCACCGCAAAACTATCTGCAACTTCATAATTTTTAAAAATTCCTGAATGATCTATTAATCAATAAACTCCGCTACAAGATCATGTGACAAATACCATGTGCTATCATACAGATGAAACTAATTCCTTGAACATTTCTGAAAGAGTAACTGAATCATACCACATTTCACTCAATCTCAGTTTCCCTTTCTAACCATTCTAAATTTGTTAGTCTAATAATCTGCTTTGTCCTTCCAAATGATCATCACTGACTCGTCATTTCAAATGTCACTTCAGAAAAATTTACATTAAAATAATACTTCCTGCAACAAATACGTGGTTTAAAGATGGTTGTTTTCCTTAGCTGTTCAACAGCAGTCCAATTTTTCTATTCCTGTTGACAAAACTTAATTCTAATAAAAGTATTGGCTGAATTTGTTTCCTTTTCCTTTTTCTTTATGTCTTCAAGAAAACAGGACAATAATTAAAAGTGTGAACAATCAACATGCTCAAGTATTCATGCTTGTACCAAATCACCAATGAATCAGAAGTACACAATACCCTTATTTGATAAAAATTATTGAGACAGATATTTAAAAATTTCCAGGAAGAGATTTAGCTTGGAAAAACAAGTTAAGTGAAGAGCAGAGGCAAAGGCATCCCCTCAATATGAAATAAATGTTCATGCATCTTAAATAAAAAAATATTTCTACAAATACATTCTTTAAATGCCTCTCCTAAAATTTCAAATCTTTATAAAATGTAATTTTCAACTTGCTTCTTGTACACAGTATCCAAATATTTCTACATGCAAACAGCCAAGTGTTTATAAAAATGATAACTGACCTTAGGGAGAGTGTCTTTATACTGACACTGCTTGAAAGCATCACCAAAATAATCTGCAGCCTGATTCGCCAATTTGGCTATAATGGCATCTTTCATTTTATCTGGAATAAAATATGAAATTGACCACTATAATTAAAATAAAGTAATCTGATATATCATGATTGTACATGTCTTAAAAAATCCTTATTGATGAAATCAATTCATCTGCATGAAATTTAATTATTCCTCAGGCAAATACAAAGAGTCAGAAAATAATTTAGTGGTTGCCAGGAGCTAGGGGAAAGAGGGAATAGAGTGTGACTGCCAGTGGGTATGAGGTTTCTTTTGGGGATAATGATAATGTCTTAAAATAAGACTGGTTATGGTCACAAAACTCTGACTATACTAAAAACCAATGAAGTATGTATTTTAAAAGGATGGATTTTACTGTACAGGAATTCTATGTCATATGGATTCCACATGACTGCACCCTTAGTTTTAATTTCTCTGTACTTACATATTCAGTCTATATTCCAATCTGTTATACTAAATTGCATGCCTTATAAGAATTAATCTTATTCCCTCATTCAGAGCTAGGGATTCTGCTAGGCTCAATCTTGTCAGTTAGATCTCGATGAAATGAGATCTCCTTAAAGGTACTCTTCTTCACTAATGAATTTAAAATTAGCATGACTGCTCCTCCATCCTTACCCCACAGCCAGACCAGACCACCAGCCATTATCCCACAATCCACCTTATTCTCTTTAAAGACATTATCTCTCTTTACCTGAGCCACTTAATTTCTTATTATCTCTCCAACACTCAACTATAAGCTTCCTGAAATAAGGAATCTTGTTTTTCTTCTAACTCTATTTACCTAGAGCTTAGAGCAGGGACTAGAACACAGAAAGTACTCAATAAATATTTGCTAAATGAATACATGTTTGACATATTACAAACCTATATAAACATTATTTCAGAATTCAATGTTTTAAGACAATAGCTAACTATCCATTTTAAAAAGATTGCAAATACAACTTACATTCTTAAATGTGCATTATACCACCTTAAGTTCAGAAAAAGAAAGCTGAAAATTTTCAATAACAAATGTTTCAAGTTCATGCTCTACACTGAACATGTTATATTTTAATCATCTTCTAATCTTAAAAAACTATCACTTATTTTCACATGCAACAAAATGACAAATTGGAATTACCTCTTGTGGCCTTTAAAAAAAAGACTTCTTGGGCCTGTGCCAGCATGATAAGACTGAGGGTCCCAACAGTATCTGGAGATATGTCCACAGTAGGTTCCCGATTTAAGGCAGATAAAACCGTCTCTTTAATATGTAAAAAGGCACCACTAGCAAACTAGAGGGGAGTAAAAAGAATTTCTTTAAAAATTTATAGGAACTCAGCAAGACTTAATTTTCTACTGTTAGACACAAAATTATTCCAAATGTTAACTCAGTTGAATAGTTATTTAAATTTTATATTGTGCAAAATAGCTCTAAAACATCTGACCTACAGACAATAGGGTATTTTTTCTAAAATACTATAGAGTAACAAGAAATTTAACAAAGATAAAAAGTCAAGCCGAAACCGGTTTGGCTCAGTGGATAGAGCGTCGGTCTGCGGACTGAAAGGTCCCAGGTTCGATTCCGGTTAAGGGCATGTACCTGGGTTGTAGGCACATCCCCCGTGGGAGATGTGCAGGAGGCAGCTGGTCAATGTTTCTCTCTCATCGATGTTTCTAACTCTCTATCTCTCTCCCTTCCTCTCTGTAAAAAATCAATAAAATATATTAAAAAAAAAAAGTCAATTGTAACAAAAATAGTATATTAACAGGACAAATTGAGTAAACTTATTTTTAGATATACTTCCTCAAAACTAATATGAAAATAAAGGCAGGGATAAAATATTAAAATGTTTTTAGTACTGAATGTACTTGGTTTGGTCCCAAACAAATTCATTTCTCAAACAATTAAACATATATGCTTAAGGAAGCCTCAAACACTACAGATACCTACTCCTCTGAGGAACAGCATTACCACCCAATGCTAATGATTTCTATTTGACTCTCAGAGCTCCTTGGTGAAACATTAACCATCGGAGATTTGTCTTCCCAATTACCGTATTTGCCGGCGTATAAGACGATTTTTTGGCCCTGAAAAATATGCCTCCAAGTGGGGGGTCGTCCTATACGCCAGGTACACTTCAGATAGACTGCCCATAGTGCTTGCCCCGGGCCATAGTGGCCTCCCGATGCCCGCCCACTTCATTCCACATACCGTTCAGGCATCAGCAGCGCTGCTGGGTGTATGCTCGGCTGTTATGCGATTTTGCTGTTATGCGATTTTACCACACTCGCAAAATCGCACACAGCCGACCATACACCCAGTATGATAGCGCAAAATCGCGAATCGCGATACCATACTGCGTGTATGGTTGGCTGTGTGCGATTTTGCGAGTGTGGTAAATTCGGGTTACCGTATATTTCTTTACATATGCATTGAAGATTCGCGATTTTGCGCTATCATGGTGCCTGTTAGAATGTTGAAGAGCTCGCACTTGCGCACTAGTGAGGTCCCAGGGA